CAGCTAAGCGTCAGCCCTACCCCTGGGTGGGACCTGAGGTTGACGTTGGTCTGATCCTAAACTTGGCATCAAGGTCAGTCCTGAGGATGAGCCATGAGGCAGGGCCTTCTTAGCAGCTCTAGGCTGTCAGGGGGGACGGGCCCAGCTTGCCTGCCCTCTCCCTATACTGGGAGGAAACTGAGGTACCAACAGAGGAGGGGCATGTCCAGAGTCTTCCATCAGCCATACTGCCCTGAACAATCACTCTGCAATTAGCTAGATGCCTGGCCAGTGGTAAAGCTAAAAGTAGGAAACCTGCAGATACCATGTAAAATCTGCCCTCCTGGAAGGTCAGGGACCAGGAGAGACACTTTGGCTTGTAAAAATATTTGGAAAGTAACTCAGAAAAATGCTTTACAGAAGGGAAGAGAGAAGAGCAATGAGACCAGAGCCAGAATTTCTCCTGGGGTTGTGTCCCTTTGTCATGGCAGATGCCACCCATTCGTGCAGCTGGGACACTCTCTTCAAAGGAAGAACAGCTCAGGCCCACACCATGTTTGCGGAGCTGTCTTTGATGTGTCCATCCCTGGGGCAAAGAGGAGAAGCCCACCTTGATCTGAAGTGAACCAGCTGTGTCACACTTGGTTATGAGGAAGAGTTAATATCACACACAAGTCTAGACTCTTCAGCAAGTTCCAGAAGAGCTTTGAGGAGATGGCTTTGCCTTTGTCCTCATTGTAGTCTCCATGTGTCACTTCTGGGAGACAGACACCACAGCGGGTGAGTCTGCCTGCAGGTTACAGCAGGGCAGGCACAGCCAGCTTCCCACCTTCCCGGGGTCAGACCACACAGGGCCCGACCCTGGAAACCTTTGTTCTTAGGGCTGGAGACAAATGAGAGTGCACACAGGGGGAGGGTGCATTTGGAAGAGATAAATATTAAGAGATGAATCACCGCAGTGGGGACAACTTTTTCTAACATTATACTCCCAACTTCTCCAACTTTCTCTAGTTAATATTATAGTCCTTTTACAACTTTATAATAGGACGAAGAAAAGCTGGTGTGCTCTAGGAGAAAGGCATCAGGGTCTGTGTTCTGGGCACCCAGCCCCGCTTGGTTACTATCAGATGGATGGGAAGTGACGGATGCCCTGGAGAAACCGGGTGTATGGGTTAGAGGAGGGTGAGGCAAAAATATCCTTTTATTTCATCCTGTCCTGACGAAAACCTTTCTCCGATAAAGCACTACTAAGTATCTGATGATGGACTTAGCGGACCTCAGACTGGGAAGGTCATCCCAGTGAGTGGACATCACTGGCCTGGCCTAGGCGGTGACCTCATCCAACCCATATAAGCTCCACAAAGTCACCTGCCCAAAGTTCTGGGAACAGAGAGTGGTGCCAAGTTCGATTTTCCTTGGGAAGACATCAGCTTCACTGATGTTTACTAATGGCCCACCCAGCACCTGGGCTGTCCTGATGGTCCGCGGGCGGCCCCTGCCAAATACTCCCTGGCTGCTTCGGGAGGACTGGCCCAGCCCAGGGCTCCCTGCTTCTGCACACTCCCTGGAGGCCCGCCACCTCTATTTTTAAGACTTCCCGTTCCCTGTCCTCCTCTCTCCTTCACTCCTGGTCCTGTTTCTTTTCTTTTCTTTCTTTGCTGTGACTGCTCTCCACGGGACTGTTTACTGGCCTCTTCCATCCATGCAGGAAAAGGGCCATGTGGGAAAGTAACAAAGCCTGAAAATAAATGGTTACTATTTATTCATTTCCTAGAGTAAAGCTATCTTTAGATTACAACCCAGAACTGAAAAATATAAACCATGAAAACTATTCAGAGTACTGGGAGGTGTTTATATTTGGGGTTTCCACACAAGTGAGTGTATCTTTCAACCTTCATAAACCTCACTGTTCTTACAATATATTTCTGACTATGTCAATTTGGCTTAAAAAAAACTTATTGATTCTATTTTTGGTATTTTTGTTTTTAGAGCTCAAGAAAAACAAACATGATGCCACAAAGTAAATGAGAAAATATTTTTATATTCTGGAGGTTGAAAGTTGATTTTCTAATAACACACTGGTCAGCAGCATGGGATATCCTCTGATAGAATCACAAAGTCCATTTACTGTCTGATCCTGGCCCAATTCTTTATGCTCTCCAAGCCGAGTTCCTCATCGGTGGTCAGCCCAGCTCTGGGGTCACAGGGAGCTCTGGGAAATCTATCGAGTTGCCCTTCACTCCTGTGGTCTCAGGAAATCAAGGGCCATTGTTACCTACAGAGCTTCGTTTCTTTAGTATCTGTTGTGTCCCCATGGTTGCTGAACTTCCCTTTCTATCCTCTATTTAAAAATTAAGATGTATTTAAAGTAAGGAATGGACACACAAGGCAGGAAATACAGACAATACAAAAGTGAAAGTCTTGTATTCCGTAAGCCTCCTTCCCACCTCTATCCCCTCTTGAGAGGCACCATGATAACCAGATTCCAAAGATGCCCCAAAGTGTGTGTGTGTACGGTTTAAAATAGCAGTTAACATATGTCTGTTATGTAACTGCTTCTCTCTTTACTGCCACAAGCTGCTTACACTGTGCACCTTGCCTGCTTCTCTTATGCTGATGATAGATTCTCCACTGAGGCACTTTTAGACCAGCCCCCTTCCTCTCTATAGCTGCTTTCAGAGCATTTATCAAACTAGTTGCCTATTGGTGGACGTTTAGATGGCTCTAATCCCTTGCTATTACCACAGTGAACACCACTTGTAACATGGACAAGTGTAGAATTCCAAGTGGAACTGCTGGGTTGAAGAGCATGTGATTGTAAAATTTGATAGTTAATACTCGACTGCCCTCCATAAACTATGCATCAATGAACACCCTCTACTGCACAAGACACCTTTTCCTGCAGCCTTAACAGAGCCTGATGGTTGCCAAAACAAAACAAAACAAAACAAAACAAAAAAAAACAAGTTTCTCAGTACAGTTTTAATATGCATTTCACTTATTGTGCCTAAAGTGCAGCATCTCTTCATGTTTCCAGTGCCCGAGTCATTTGACCTCCTTTCTGGGGACCGTCCACTGCCCTGCTCAGCGTTTCACCAGGCCTTCCTTTTACTGGTTCGGAGGAGCTCTTTAGGGGAGGAGCCCTTTGTGACATGGGCTGCAAGCATTTCTCCCTCATTGCCCTTGTATTTTTCTTTTTTAAATTAAAATTTGCCAAGAATAAATAGGGTATATTTATGTAAGTGAATTGATGAATCTTGCTTTTTATGACTTGGGGTCTACAAAGTAGGCCTTCTCTCCTCCAAGATTACAAATATGACTGAACATGTTTTTATCTATTTTTGTGGTTTTACTTTTTACATTAGAATTTATATTCATATAGGACTGAGATCCAATTGTATATTTTTCCAGCGGGTTACTCAGCCGTCCCAATACAACTTATTGAGTGATCCATCTCTCCCGTAAAGATATGGAATGTCACCTTATATTCCAAATTTCTATTTTAAAGCCTGTTTTATCCTAGGTAGTGGTCCTTTTTGTGCCTTTCAGAATTTCTGACTTGGAGTCCATTTCCTCACTGATCTTTATTAAGCACACATTTTTGTCTTTAGCCTTAAATACGCTTCAGAATCCATGCTTCAGGCCCTACAGGGAGCACACTCTCCCACCAAAAGTTTCCCACAGAAACATCACTGAGGAGCCAATCCTGTCCTCCCACACACTGCAGAGGAGAAGTGGGAAGAAGTGATCAGCAGGCAGTCCTGGCCCACACCAGTTCCTAGAAGACTTAAGAGTGCAAGCCCTCAGGCTTCCATTTGCTCAGGGGAAAGGGCAATTTCATCAGTGTTGCTAAATAATAGGAAAAAAACAACGCTGATGATACTGTTGGCCACCGGACCCAGCTCCTGGCCCTGCACAGCACAAAGGCTCCCGGGGCAGCCTGGGCAGCCCAGACCGGAATCCCCAACAATGTGTACTGTTCCTGTCTGTAACCTCCTTTAGTCATCCCCTCCTCCCAGAGGCCCTAGGAGGGGTTCGGGGGAGGCACAGGTGTCAGTTCCAGGGAACACAGCAAAGGCAGCTCAGGTTAGCTCACTGTGCAGAATTCTAGGGGCACAAGTTCCCATCTGCACTCCAGCCCTTATCTCTGAGACCACACCTTCCGCCTGCTGGTAATTAAACCTTCGCACCTCCCAGGTAGAGGGGCCTCAATGGGTCCAGTACTATATTCATTTCCTTCCAAAAACCTTGCTGCTCATTCTGTTTCCTCATTTTGTTCAAATACCATCAAGCACCAAACTGACCATGTTTTTATTTGTCGTTGTTTGTTTGTTTGTTTTTTACATTCGAATTTATTTTCATGTAGGACTGAGATCCAATTGTACTGGGAGATGTGCCCAACTGGAGGTCTTTGCAAACTACTGCTACTACTGTGTGTTACACTCTTCCCCCTGCTGGCCCTCAGGCCCTCAGCCAACTTTGGGACGCATCTGTGGGCCTGGAGAGGTCAGCATTGGCCACAGTAAAATGCAAAGGGAGCAGCTTCTGTGCGGAGAAGCCAAGCTAATGCCCTGAGAGATTTTCCAAGTGTCTTTAAGACTATTTAGTGACATTATGAGAGCTATGACTCATTAGGCAATAGGTTAGTGGCATCATCGCTCCATTATAATGTATGGAACCAAAGTCCTATATACTTCCCACCCAGACATCACCTGGCGCCTAGCTGTACAGCGCAGCAGGTTCTCTTCAAGGGAGGTGACAGGCCTTTGTGGGACTGAATTGCTCCCAACCCAGTCGCACCACCTGTCCTGGGACACCTACCCACTTCGCTTTCCCCGCCGTATGCGCCCTATATCACCTGCCCGTCCCCATATCCACATCTCCCCTGCCCTCGCCCTTCTCCCCCCCCGCCCCCCCCCCCCGCCCACCCTACCTCCCACTCCAGCTGCCCTTCCCCCAACCTCCCGCCCGTCCCGCATCCCACCTAGCGACCCCGCCCGCCCCCTCTGTCTCCGGCTCACCTGTAGGCCCAGGGCGACACGCTGCGGAGCGGGGTGGGCGGCCGGAAGCGG